TAAGTACAGTCTGTACTCTGGGGACTCTGGTGGAAAAACAGTAGTCTCTTTGGCCAGGGAGACTAGAAAACTGAAACCAGAGAACCCTGATCACTGAAGATAGGGGAGAAATCCCAGAAAAAGAAGAGCCAGAGGAGGGGGAGTCCTTAGCTTTTGTGAGCACACATCTCTGACTGCCCTCTGAGCCCTGCATGAGTACAGTGGACTCAGAAAAACTCGGGTAAAGACAAAAAATCTCAACTGGACTGGAGCTGCCTCCTAAGAAAAATAGTTTACAGTTCAAGCCGACCCAAGATATTTGCCGGCTAAATGAAAGAAACAACTGTCACTGGAGGAAAAAAACAATCTCTCATATCCACAAATTAACATTTCTACAGTCCATAATTACCCCATATATGGAGAATCAAGAAAATGGAACATATCAGAGAGGAAGAAAATCAGTTGAATTCTACCCTGAGATGAACGAGATATTGGCTGTACCAGGCAAGACTTTTAAAGCAGCTGTTATAATATCCTCAGTGAAATAAAACGTCATGCTCTCAGTGAATAACAAAACAAGAAATCCTATCAGGAAAATAGAAACAATGAAAAAAGAACCAAATGGAAGTTCTAGAGTTGAAAAATACAATATTTGAAATAAAAATTCAGTAGCTGGATTTAACAGTTGAATGGAGGTGCAAAAGGAAAAGTACATGAACTTTGAAGATAGAGCAATAGAAATCAATTTGAAGAACAGAGAGAAAACATATGGGGGGGAATGAACAGAGTCTCAGGGACTTTTCAGGTTGAATCAAACAATCTAACATGGACATAATTGAAATTTCAGAGGAGAGACAGAATGGGATAGAAAATTTTCTTTTGAAAAATTAAGGCTGAAACCCCCCAAATTTGATGAAAAACAGAAACTTACAGATACAAGATCCTTAGTGAATACCAGGGTGACTGAACCCAAAGAAGTCCACATCAGTACACATCACGGCAAAACTTTCAAAAGCAAATGTTGAAAGCAGTAAGAGAAGCATGATACATTTAAATTACTGCCTTCACCTGGGAAACCATGGAGGCCAAAAGAGAATGGAAGAACATGTTTATATAAAGTGCTGGATATTGAGGAGGGCACCTGTTGAGATGAGCACTGGGTGTTGTATGGAAACCAATTGGACAATAAATTTCATATTAAAAAATAAATAAATAAGCAGGAAAAAAAAGTGCTGGAAGAAAAGAAAAAAGCCTGTCAACCCAGAATTCTTTATCGAAGAAAAATATGCTTCAAAAAGGAAGAGGGTTCCAGATTTAGTTAGTGGCAGCAGTGACACAACTTGTGAATAGACTAAAAAGCATGGACAGATACGCTTTAAAAGGGTGAGTTTTATGGAATGTGAATATCTCAATAAAAAGATTTGAATGAAGGTAAGAAAGACTCTTTCAGATAAAAGAAAACTTGGAGAATTCTGCGCTACAAGAAATGTCAAAGGAAGTTCTTCCAGGCTCAAGAAAACTTATACCAGATGAAACTTTGGATCCTTGGAAAATATAAGAAAGATCATCAAAAATGATAAATATCTACAGAAATGCAGAAGTCTCTCTCTTTCCTCTTTCTTTGTAAATCATATAAGGAAAACTGATAGCATTGTCTTGTGCATAATTGCATATATAGAAGATAATAACTCCATTTAATATATATCAGTAGTCCATAAAGAATGATTACAAAGTTTCTACGGTTTTAGGGAAATGGAACAGTATAAATTATAAGAGGACTGTGGGTAATTAAAGATGTACACTGTACTCCTTAGGGCAACAACTGCACTAATAATGTAAAAAGTAGAGCTAAAATGCCACGTGAAAATTGAAATGAAATTCTAAAAACCATTTAAATGTTTTGCTGTTGTTGTTTTTTTTTAAGTCAGGAAAGTAGAAACATGGGAACAAACAGAAAAAACAAGTTAAAGGGCGCCTGGCTGACTCTTGATCTTGGGGTTGTGAGTGCGGGCCCCACGTTGGGTGTAGAGGTTACTTAAATAAAGGGAAGAGGCAAGTTAAAAACAAGTAATAAAATGGTAAACCCAAATCCAGCCATCTCAACAATTTCATTAAACTGTCAGTAGGTTAAGTTCAATGGGTATAGGGTTTGGTGTGCAAAATTAAAAAGTTCCAGAGATCTGTTGCAAACACAGTACATGTACTTAACACCACTGTATTATATACTTAAAAATGGTCAGGGTGGTAAATTTTATGTTACATGGTTTGACCACAAGTAAAATATTTTAATTATGCATTTAGTTAAACTTTGTTTTTTTTCAACATTTATTTATTTTTGGGACAGAGAGAGACAGAGCATGAACGGGCGAGGGGCAGAGAGAGAGGGAGACACAGAATCGGAAACAGGCTCCAGGCTCTGAGCCATCAGCCCAGAGCCCGATGCGGGGCTCGAACTCACGGACCGCGAGATCATGACCTGGCTGAAGTCGGACGCTTAACCGACTGCGCCACCCAGGCACCCCACATTTAGTTAAACTTTGGAAGGACACTGAAGTCACTTATCCCCCTGAAACTTTTAATTCTAGAAGTTCGCAGTTGGGTCTGATTTGCTTGAAGTTGGAGGCCCAGAGCATTATTTATTTGCAAACACTTATAATGATGTTCTGTGGCACACAACAAGCTCCGTATAAATTTAACTCCTTGAATCCGCATCAGATCCCTATGAGGTAGGTGTTATTTTATTTTCTGCCATTTTATTATGGACATTTTCAAATATACAGAGAATTTGGAAGAACTACATGTTGAACACCCTCCCACTCACTGTCTGGATTCTGTAATTAACATTTATCGTATTTGCTTTATCACATATCTGTCCATACCTCTATTCACCCCTTAATCCATCTTATTTTTTTAAGCATTTCAAAGCAAATTGCAGACATCAATGTGCTTTGAGGGTAGATATTTTTATTATCCTCATTTTACACTAGAGGGGACCTGAGACACAGAGAAGTTAATTAATTTGTTCAAGGTCACATGGCTTTTAAGTGGTAGAAATAGAATTTAGCTTAGGCCTCCTTTAACCACATCTATAGAATGCTGGTTGGCACAATATTAATAGGTATTGCCATAAAAAAATAATTTTGTGATCCAATAAATTTGGTAAATACAGTATCTGAGTTTTAGATTCACATGCAGATTTTCATGGTGTAGAATCTATGAAGTTCAGCAGTAAAGAAACCTGTAACCTGATTAACTTTGTTTAAGCCGATCATTTCAGGTTTATTTGACTTGAAAGCATCTTTTCCCCCTAAGCATAACACCTATTAACATCTTGTAGTATAGGACCAGAATCAATGGAATATATTTTGGAAAATGCTCATTTGTAAGATATCCTAATTTTGTTTATCTAGGACAGAATATTTTTTTATTAAATTTTTTTTAACATTTATTTATTTTAGAGAGACAGAGCATGAGTGAGGGAAGGGCAGAGAGAGAGAGACAGAATCTGAAGCAGGCTCCAGGCTCTGAGCTGTCATCACAGAGCCCAATGCAGGGCTCAAACTCACAAACCGTGAGATCATGACCTGAGCTGAAGTCCAATGCTTAACCGACTGAGCCACCCAGGTGCCCCTGAAGACTTCATTTTTTAGAGCGATT